CGGATAGGGAGTGGAATTCCCTGCCTGCGGACTTATTCCCCGAAAGCTGTAACTTTGACCTTTTCATAGCGAGAGAAAGAGAGAAAGAGATAGAGGTTTTATTGAGGTGTGCATATTACAACGTCGACCTCATCGTCACTTTCCATCAAGTGAGATGAAGATCAAATACGCACTTATTTTTGTATAAAAAAGTCTGAGGGGCATTGACATTGCGCTCGTCACTCTGGGACATAAGTTGACAAGTCCCATGTGCCTTACGTGTGATTTCACCAGTACCCTTAACCTTGGCAGAAATAGGTAAAGCAGGACTTCCCCAGATGAAGTCTTTCACATGGACCTCTACTGCTACAAAATACTTTATATTTTTGTTAGACAAATAAAAATACATCTTTTGTTATTGTTATGTATTGACATGTTATGTTTTTAAGACCTATTTGGATCATTAGGTTACGCAATAAAGCCACTGTTAGCATAAAAACAATGAATCATAATTCGCCGTTGGTTGGATAAATAGAATGAGGCAATATTTTATTTTCACTATATCGTCTGCAATCAAGAGGCTGCATCTATTTTTAGAAAAATGTCTGGTCTGTGAGTAAAAATATTTATCGAAAACTAAACAAAAAAAACACACTCATGAAAAATAGTCACTTCGACGTCGAGATGCACAAATAAGCCATACCGCACCAAAAAAAACTACAATGTAGAGAGGGAACCCTGCCTATATTTTCAATTCTCTGTAGCGACACTATTCATCCATTTACCTATATCATGTATAATTATTGTATTTTCACCTATCCTAGCAGTGAGCATAAATAATACGTATAATATCATTGCATCCTAGGATAACATTTAAACAACACTAATTTTGAGGTGTGAAATCAATACTTCCTTAATAACAGGGTGTAAAACGAACTTCCCAGAATAACATTTTTTTTACAGGTTTCTGTTTACCGGTGTGATGATATACGCTGGAATTCTTATGGCAATAGAAATAGACGAAAAATACGGAGTGTTGGATACCGTTCAAAATAATGTATTCCATTTTCTTGGTATAAAAGAAAATAATTCTACAAGTCAAAATAATAAAACAAACCACGACAATACAAGTGCATTAAATTTTATTTTTCGGGACGATCTCGATGACTATGATGACGATGACAATGATTATCTAGAACATTCTATGCTTGATGAAGAAGAGCAAAAACAAGAAGAGGAATTAAAAGCAATATTGAACAAAATACCAGAGAAAGTTATAAAAAATGAAGAAAAAGTCAACAGCAGAACAAGTAAGGCAAATCAAAATAATGCGAAAAAAGAACAGAATAAAAATATAAAACGCAAACGTCAATTAGTGAGAAATAAAAATGGAGCGAAAAGAAATACAAAAAAAAACAAATTACGTAGCAAAAAAAAGTTAACAAAATGCACACGTGGCTGCGAATAAACACTAAAGATCAGAACTAATAGTAGCGCTTAGCTCGGTAGTATAATTAGTAACGGTAAAATGAAAGAGTAAAATTTCAAAGTAAAAATTGTATATAATGTAATCATTGTTACAAGCTTTTACATCTAATTGTGCGTCAAGTACATGCAAAGTTCATTTTCAAGTAATTACTATTAACCCGATTGGTACCTTATGTTTAATTATGTTTACAGATAATTGCGATTGTCAAGTTATACGTGTCTAGCAAATTATAATTATACATCAATACAAAGATACTGGCTGGTAATTAACTAATTAGATGTTTCAAAACAGAGAAGCTTGCGGGGCATTTTGTTTTCTAAAGTCTAGCAAGCTTACAGGTACAAAAATGGATAAGCTGTCGCATTTTTTGCATAAAATAAAAAAAAGACAATTATTGTAGTTGTTCGTAGTTTCATTTTTGCTTTTTTGTCCAAAGACCATACTGCCTCGTCTTTAGTTGGTTGTGTGTCAATGTTCTGTTTAACATTATTACTAACATTATTAGTAACAAGTTACTGACTGCAATATCGTGAATGACCTTAACTGCTACGTGAGCGAAGTAGTCACATGGAACTATAGGTTTATACCGCTCTCTCTTGAAACAATCGTGCCTTAACATTGTCCAGTAAATTGACACAAAATTGTATATGATAAAAGCGACAAAATAATTTATTTAATTATGCATAGGGTAGCAGCTATAGTATTTGCTATTGTGTTTGACAAGATACAGTATTTAGTCAATGCAAATACGAAGGATATAAAAATTGAACAAGAGCAAGGTAGCGGGTACACTTGAATATATTTTGTCACTGTCACGTGGTCGCTTCCATAAGCTTGTCTCATTATATTTGCAGTAGTTCATTCTTGTACCTTTATATCATAATATCGCACCCCTCATGGAAAAATGGCATAAGTGGAATTACGTCAAAAACGTTTATTACTGAAGTAGATACAGAAAAATCGACTGATATTGTAGATTGAGTTACAAGAATTGGAGAGGATGTGGGTTATATCTTTCTGTATCTAATGAAGCAACAAAACATTTTTAACGTGTCTCCACTTATTCCATTCTTCCATGAGGGGTGCGATATGTCTAAAATTATGCTATTGTAACTACCTTTAAGTACAACATCATAAAAATGCAATTAAAATACTTCTGTGCCTATTTATCTTCCATCTTGAAATATATTTTTTTTATACTTAAAATTATTTAACACAACAGTGGCGTCTTTTTTCTTGCATTTTCTCGAAGCCTAATTTAATTACTAATAGCAGTGCATTTAAATGTCATGTTGTGAAAGCTAAGACTGAGATTTATAAACTGAAATTTGCCTTCGAGTGAGCAGAAATGGCGAGCTGAGCAAAGGAAAGCAAAGAGCTTTTACAAAACGAATTTAGCCTAAATTTAAGCAAGGTATTAGCGAGTAAATTCAACGTTTAAAACTGGGTAAAGTTAATGTTGTAAATAAATGAAAAATTTCCTCGCTATTTTTGTTTCGTCGAAGTCAAAGTTCGGTTTATAAATCTCAGCCTAAGAGAAGAGTCCTACGAGCGCGTTTCACACAAACGTAGGGTTAGCTTATGGCTCAATTTACACTGGCGCATAGTTGAAGCGTTGTGTCACGTCCTGTTTTTTAACAGGACGCGACAGCTTGGTGACGCGCGTTGTCGCGCGACGAGCACTCGCATTAATTAGTGCGTCCGGATCACAGTGTGGTCGGCGTCTGACGCCTCACTGCGCTCAAGAGACACGTAGCGACGATCGTCGACGTCCGTCCATATTTGCATAACACAAATTTGTACCTTAATAATGTGAAAATAGAGATTAATATACTATAGTCGAAAAACATAATGCGCCGCGACGCTTCGACTCTGCGCCAGTGTGAGTTGAGCTTATGGCCTTTCCATACTCGCGCAAGTCGCATACTATCCGCGAAGCATGAGTGTGGATCCCATTCGCATGTTCATCGCGGCTTCGCGCCGCGTTCGCGGCTCGTTCCCGATAGTTGTTGGTAGTTTGTCCAGTGACAAAGGGAATGCGAAGTGCGAACTTGGCGTGAACGCGACAAGGCTCCACATTGGGATGCGGTTCAGTTGCTTGTAAGTGCCGCGGACGGTTGTGTTAGCATTTTTATTGCTGACGATTTGAACGTGCTTAAAATGGCCGTGGATTGGACAAGCGAACTAGAACTGATATTTTTACATTTTTATAGCATTTCTTTTTAATAACTTTTTTCTTTAGCAAAGCATATGTAATTGTAAATCACCAAAGCGCAAAGTAGTCCCGCAGCAGCTACAGCAATTTCGGCGTCCATCTTACTCATGCGCGCGAACTGTACTGTGAACTGTAGCAGTTCGTGCCGCGATACGCGCCGTGATTTCGCGTGTGAATCGCGCGCAAGTGTGAAGAGGCCTTTATGTTTCAGAGATTACTTAACTCATTAACTTATGGACAGTACCTCCCTTTCGAAAACTTTTTCCATTATCTAAAGAAAACAATATCGCGGAGCATCATTTGTTAGTTTCTCGTGACATTATACAGTTTTAAAAATACACGGGCTCTGCATCTCAGGTTTAAATGAAAAAGATTCAACTTAATGATAATTAAATACATTTGTGTTTCAAAAGTCCTAACTCACAAATAATGAATGCCGTATACGAAATAGTTATAATTACACATTTGTCATATCAGCTATTTGAATGGACACTTAAATACAAAACGCTCAAGGCAACTGCGCGCGTTAGTAGAACTAACCTCTCAAATTAAAGTAAATACTAGTTGCTTCCTACCAAAGTCGCCCGCACGTGTATGCGTGCTGCCCGCGCATCACTCGAAATATTTTAGAATTTCTTGCATTTAAATCCTGTGCACTCTCATACATTAAGCCGCGCTCCAAGCGCCGCATTTCGGCAACTTCAGAAATTCGAATTAATTGTGATTACAGACGTCGACGCATTTGATCAGCCAACTCAGTACCATTATAACGCGACGCAACACGGGCGCTGCCGGTGCGTTGTGTCATTCCAACACTACGAATTCACAAACGCAAACACGAGTAAGGGCGCGTTCCCGTTATGTCATAACGTTTTATTTATCGTTGGCCGACTGTCTCGTCTACCATGTTCCCATATCACGACTTTATTATTATGTTGTGCTTGTGTCGTGGACGTTTATTTTATCGTTGAACGATTGTCATGTCTAGCTGTTTCCACTAGATCGTAACGACAATTTATCGGTTCACGGCAGCCGCCTTGTCATTTGCACGACAGAAACGTTTGAAGCTGCGTTTATCTGTCGTCGTTTTTTTATTTATGAAAAATAAGTGCACATTTAACCTCCATCTCACTCAGTGGAAAATGACGATGAGGTCGAGGATGTAGCATGCATACTTAAATAATGCCTATTCACTCTCGCCTTCAAAAGGTCCAAGTTATAGCGTTCGGGGAACAAGTCTGCAGGCAGGGAATTTCACTCTCTAGCCGCTCGCTATACAAATGTGGAAGTGAAATGCTTCGTGCGAATCCGTGGAATATCCACAACATAAGGATGGAACCCCAGCCCACGTCTAGTCTCCCGATAATGGAAAGGGGAAGGCGGAATCGAATTATGCATTTTTATCTTGACGTATTTTTTATGATCAGACGACTGTCGTTCTAGCACTTCTCATTGTCACGACAGGCTCTTGTGGTAACAAAAAAAAGTCGGAAACGACAGTTAATAGTATTGTACTATATACCTATATGTGAACAACTTCATTTAAATATACAAGCCATGACACTTTAAACTGCATGACTATTTGTCGTCACGACATAATGGGAACGCGCCCTAACGCTGTGTCGCAATGTAACGCCGCACTTAAGCCGGGTACGTACTAGCGAGCTGTAGCCGTAACCGTTGCATTATGTTACTAAAAATAATAGTGTGTACGAGGTTCGTGAGGGTGCTGCGAGCGGAACGTGTGCGGTTCGCAGTGAGCCGACGATAACCAGGTAGGTAGTCATTCTAGGGAGTGAAGAGTGTTTCACGCGTATACATTTGAACCTCGTTAGGTACGGTATCTGTCTCGTAAATTTATAAAACTCAAAAGGAAAGAGCTACGCATTCTAATAGCCGCCCTAACGGGTCATGGTCCATATGATAAGTACTTTTTCAATCTAGGTTTCACGGACAGCCCTCCAGTGCATGGAGGAGGAGGAGGAGGAAATGGGCGCGTACATCCTACTGCAATGCTCCGGCGTGGTCAACTACAGGGCAAAGTACATCAGAGCGCCAAGGTCGCTCCCCGATTTTTCAGCAAACCCAAGAGGTAGCTGAGATTCTTGTAAGAACTTGGGTGGCTCGAATAGGACCGTGTATTCACCACCCGCAGTTCCGCGTGAGTCGACATTTTGCACGGCGTGTGACATGCGTGGTGTATGGTGGCTGTCATACATATGTGGGCGATTTTATTGGCACACGTCTCCCAAATTGCAAGAACAACACCTATTATTTAAGTTATACAAACTAAGTATATGGGAATCAATACGTCTGGCCCCATGATTACTACCTAATTGTGATTTTTTACAAACGCATTCCGGACTGCTACTAGATCTCAAACACTGGATTTTTCGTAAAAAAAAGGTCGCAAGGAAATAGTTTAAATGACAGAGATCTACAGTGTCTTCGCATGAATGACGTTTTATTTGTTTAAGGCGGGATTAAAATAAGAGGCCGCGTCGAGGTAGTACACGGCAAAGGTGTTTTTTAATAATGCATTATTTGCAACTTCGTGAAAAACAATCTTTTTGCCTTAAACGCAGCACATCATTCCATCGTGTAGCAGTTTAGTTTAATAGCCCGTTTACACGGGGCTAATTGATGAGCCATTCCACAAAGCCAAGCCGTTATTAAGCTAGTCTAGTGAAAAGTGCGAAATTCGCAACGTCCATCCACACTACAGCAGTATTACAATAAGTTTCTTTATGATTCTTTACTAAACGGCAAATGGCTCAGAATGCACGTTCACACAAGGCCAACATGAGCCAATTCAATGTACGTGTAGTGGGGGAAGGTATTGGTCCGAAAATATCGAGACACTCCATAATGGATTGTTTCTATTTACACGATGCCAATAATGGCTTGGCTTAATGGAATGACTCGTCGATTGGCCCCGAGTAAATGGTCCTTAATGCGATTCCACCTTAAAGGCAGCGTCGGCCTATGTAGGGCCTTGATCTTGAGGCACTCCATAATAGATTGTCTCTATTTACACGACGCCAATAATGGCTTGGCTTACTGAATTAGCTCGTATATTGATCTCGTGTAAACGGTCCTTAATGCGATTCCATCTTAAAAGGGGGCATTTATTATTCTGCATTGCAGTCCGCCTTGCCGTCCGCTGAGTAATGCAGGATTATGAATGTAGTCGCAGCGTGCAAGCCATCCTGTAGTCCTGCAATGCGCACTGCGAGACTCCATACGTGGGCCTTACGCAAGATAGTGTTTGAGCAGTCCCCTGTCTGCGCGGCGGACCGCCATGCAGATAGTGAATGGCCCGTTTAAGGTCAGCGCCGGCGTTAGCTATGTAGCTGCCTGGTCTGGAGACACTCCATAATGGATTGCCTCTATTTACACGACGCCAATAATGGCGTGGCTTAATGGAATAGCTCGTCGATTGGTTCCGTGTAAACGGTCCTTAATGCGATTCCACCTTAAGGTCAGCGCCAGCGTTAGCCTATATAGCGCATGGGTGCAATCAATACCCTGGCTCCAAAATGGAATACTTACAGTTATATTTCCAAAGTGATCGGAAATTCGGGTGCAAATGGTGTAATTATACATGATGTTGGGAAGCAATAGTCCGTTTACTGTATGTGCACTGCGAGTGACGTAGGCACCTCGTAGGCGTTACGAGCGGATCTCGGCGCCCCCTAAGACCTAAGATAAAGCCGGCGTTGCTTAAGGTCAAATCCCACTTATTAGTCATTTTCAAAACAGGTATACTATTGTACTAATTATGATCCATTTTTGCTTTTAACATTTGATATAAAAACATAAAGTGTATCGATCTATCTACAGAGGCATGAACGTATATTGATAAAACGTCAAATTATGATAGTGCATTCTATTTTCTTAAAATATAGGCACATGTTTTATTTGGATGCGTGGTGCTAAAACGTGCTGATAACAAAACTTTATACCTCAAGTCCCTTTTCACACAGACTTAATAGTAAAATGTAACAATTTCCAAAAACTACTTGATGTGACTATCACTACGTTTCTAACAACGTGAGCAATTTGACACTAAATCCTACAACAGATAAAATGTCTATAGCATCTGTTCCTTCATTTCTTTATGATTTGATCGCTTTATTTTTTCTACTCTTGGGGTATAAACCTGCCAGGCCTTTACCAAAGGGTGGATGGGGGTTCGTTGTCAAATAGTAAGATCCTCGTGCACTGAAAAAACAAACAAACATATTTAGTGTATATTATAGTATTTATCAGTTCACAAGAAATCGCCTAGTTATGCTACGAATGATAGGGAAATATCTTCTGTCGTATAGTATAACAGATGTAAGAGTGTTTATCATCCCAAGGCCCCGTGTACATCAAAATGTACCTAACGTGTGAAATGATTCAGACCCAGTAAATATTATTCCTATGATCACGAAAACATCCAATGTACCGCACGTCTAGGTATAAACGTAAATTTTAATGCGGTATATTTTAAATGATCATTGGGTGTCTATAAAAATACATTTTCATACAAAACTGAGGGCATAAATACTTGCTTGGGCCTGATGCATGTCATTGTATAGTAATTATATTTAGTAAATTTTAGTTCACATTGGGTGTTTAGCGCCTTTTGTATTGTAGTTTGCTGGATCTTAGGAGGTTATAGACATTAATATTTTTGCATGAATAAATATCTCATCGAATACTTGATGCAAAGAGCACCATATCACTCCAAAACGTAAAACTGTTCGGGTCTCTTTACCTTTACAAGCAGTTATAGTGTGTCTTTTTTCAAGATGGAGTAAAATGACAGTAAATTGCGCAAAAGTGTTGCCCAATAGCAAGCAGCTAGTGATTGCAGTCGATAAATATTATATCGACTATCGACTGAATGTCAGTTACGTTTATGGAACAAATGGCCGAACTTGTTTCATTTGAATCATCATGGACCTATTATTCGTCAAACTGCTGGAAATAAGTTCATTTCAATTGCTAATTTTTGAAAATTCATACATACTTACACTAAATTTAGCAGTATGAGTATAAAAATATAAATATAAGACATATTTTAAAGTTTTTCATTTAATATATATTTTGAATTTAATATATATAATCAAATCCGCCAGTCGTTATTAAAATGTGTATGACTAAAAATTTATTTCGATACTAATAGATCAACTGTCAAAATAAGAATAAAGAATACAATAACACAATTAGTAATCATTAGATCGTAGTAACAGTCACAATTCTGATATTTTTGGCAAAATTTTCACGACTTGCACAATCTTTCCATAAAACTGTCGACAACAATACATGACTATTGGAAATTTTACAATAATTGGTAACCCTACAAATGTCATTTTACAACATCTTCAGAGAAGACAGACTAAACCTTCTTACTACCTACGTATCGTTCGTCTGTCAACAGTATTCAAAACGCGATAGTATTTTTATTTTGCTTACATTTTGAATATTTTTTAATCAATTTACGTTGGCCCTAAGAGACATGGGAAATGGGTACAGTTCACTCGATATAACAACAAATAACATAATTATTGATGAAAATAACACTCAAAGGATATAATTATTTACGGTATAAAGCCATGTGAAATATTCTTATAAGATATAAGTATCATGGTTAAAATAAAATTAAGAAATAATTAAGTAATGTACCTATTTTATTATTCATACGTTATACTGGTAAAACATATATCAATAATTCATTATATCGTCTAATCATTACACGTAATGTAACAAATACCATATTTACACAATTAAATTATGTCTATCTTTTGACTCCTTTTGAAATTGTATTAAATATCGTACCAAGTGAAAATAAATCATTCGTTATTATATCGCTAATTATTACATACCCCCTGGGCAAAAGTTACTTACTTAGTATCACAGTCGGCTCCCATGTATACCATGCCGACATCAGGGGTGGGGTTTTCTCTAAATTTCTGGTAGGATTCCGCAGGTGATGATGGGAATGCTTGCGGATTACGTACCGACTCAGCGTAAAAACGCCATGATCGCCAGTGGCTGCAGAGATCTGAAAAAGTGAATGTTTTGTTAAACTTTGGGTAAAAACAAGATTTGTCCAAATGGTGACAAATATTTCAACAAAGTGAACAAAATAGTGGGTAGCGTTTGGTAGATCAATGGTAGGGTTTATATACTATAATTTAACCCTTTCATGGACTGTACTTAACTATGTAAGTACTGAGAATTTTGTGTGCGGTTATAGAACCGCACACAAAAATCTCAGTACTTTTCTTGTCGTAGTGCTCATTTTGATTCAATATAAAAACTTCAATGTATTTAAATCATTGAATTTTGTCAGTACGTTGTTGATACTTCTCTATGGAAAAGCAGTAGGCGGCAATTACACAGAAAACACTAGGTAATTGCACTGTAAAACCCGTAGTTGATTTTTTGAGATCCACACAGCGAAACGGGGTATCGCGTACTATCATATTCTAATATTTAATTTTACGGTAAGCGCCGTTACTGTGCATGAACAAATTAATAAAAAATATATTATGATGATGAATAACTGTCAACAGTTAGCACCCCCAATTTCATTTATGATTAAAAAAATGTGTTCCTAATTTTTACCGATTTAAATGCTACTTACTATCGTCTGAAAGTGGTATGGGCGCGAAACGAGGACAGCCAGGTTGCACGCTTTTCCCGCCATTCGGCCAAAAGTCTGCAGTGCCAGTATTCACTGGTGCTCCATAACCACCTGCGTCCGTGTGGATTACGTCAACAAATTCGGCATCTTTTGCTGACACATGCTGCATCATCAACCCGTCAGGATAAAATGCTGGAAAAGCTGGATCTAGCGCTGTTAATCTGAAAAATAAGAGATAACCACTGTGTATCATTATACGGTAATTGTGAAAGTGTTTTAAATGACAATTGCTTGGTCGTCGAACATGTTAACTATAGTTCAATATTCTGTTATTTGATTCTTCACTAAAGGAAGAACCTAAATTATTAGTGGTGTAACGGAAGATACTTCTAAAGATTCTTGGAATAATTAAATGAGAATTTGAGAACTGGAGGGCTAGATTCAATAGAGAAATAGAAGAGTTAGTGTTTGTGACGCACATAATCGGGGAGATAAAACCCGCTCGACTTCGCTGGCTAGCGCATGTGGAAAGGATCGAGCTGCGAAAAGATAGTATTTTGGGGGAACCAATGTGTCTTCGTTCAGTGGGCCGTCCGAGATAACGCTGGAAGGATGGACTCGTCAAAGACTTGAAGGAGCTGATTGTGCTAGAATGGTCGGAACTGGAACAAGATCAAAAGAAATAGCGTTCTTTGGTATTGGAGGCCAAGACCCATTTCGGGTCGCTGAGCCAGCGAAGTAAGATATTTGCATTTCGAAATGATGTCTAAGGTGTGTTATAGCAGTAAAAGCTTGGCGACCTCCGTGGTCGAGTACCTTGCATACCAGTTTTCATATCCTGTCGCCATTACTGAGGTCCCGGGTTTGATCCCCGGCTGAGTCAATGTAGAAAAACGAACTTTTCTATATTGTCTCGGGTCTGGGTTTTTGTGCCGTCGTCGTTGTTTCCCATTTCCATAACAAAGGTGGGTAATTTTCAGGTTAGTTTTCTCTATCTAATTTCGGTAGCAATTTTTATTATTTGAATATTCTAGTATATTATCATGAAGTATTATTCAATATTCAAGTGGTAGTAGTATTCTGAAATATTATTTAACATTTATTGATAAAATACTCTAGCATTTAAATAATAAAAATTGACAATGAAATTAGATAGAGCGAAACGAACTTGAAAATTACCCAGGTGCTTTAGCTACTTACTTTGGGAGCAATGTACGTGATGTTGTGGAATATTTATTTAAAATGAACTTTTTTAAATAAGTTGTGGTCTGGGTGTTCCGCGTAGTGCCCCACAGTGACTAGCGCGAGAGCGACATAAAGTGCGAGATACTGCTATTCTAGCATAGATATCTCGCGCTTTATGTCGCTCTCGCGCAAGTCGCGCCTTGTCATGCTATGCCCGTAGGGCTACAGGCAAGCAAGCTACTCGATCACGGAGATCGTCATTTCGCAAATTGAGAGCAGGGGATGGCATACAATTCCACACAAATAGACAAGAACAATTTCAGTACACAGTACTAAAAAATTGACTTCAAAAGTAATTCATCCCCTACTTTACCATCTTTAGAGGTGGGTTAAAATCGGTTTACAACTGCCGGAGGTAACACATGTATATACAGCAGTTAACTGTGCATTCACTCTTTAATTATGAATATTCACAATTACAACTTTGTAACAAACACATTTGTGTAATCAACCATGACGTTTGACCTTAATAGTCATTACTTGTTTCGACATAATTCATTATTAAGACTTTGAATTGAAGGTTACAATGAACTTGCACGAACTTCTAAGATGGAGGTGCCGGCAAGCAGTTTTGTAAAAGTTGGTAGGTAAGTGCAGTTATTAACTGGCATTAGCGTTGATAGGCTTGCGTGCATTTAATAACGTGACAGACTAAATGTGGAAACCGAAGGCAGTTTCCTGGGTCTCGTTCATACTGTTATTTATTTGTTTGTGTATAGTGTACTAAAGTTAATTGTTGTAAAAAACAATACGGTTACGTTACCAAACAACGGCTTCGAGGCACAAAACAACGAATTTCTGCCAATTTACAAGTTTTCTTTTATAGAAGCATATGTAATTGAAAAAAATCAGAATATGCATTTTTTTATGTTATCAAATGATGGGACGAACAAGTCGTACGCCTGATGATAAGCGACACTCCTGTCCATAACAGTTGCAGTGCCACTTGGAGTTTTGAAGGTCAAAGCCACAGTGCCCATCATCCTTAGACATAAGCTGACAAGTCCCATGTGCCTGTAATTTCACCAGCACCTTTACCTTCAAAACCGGAATGCAGTAATGCTCATATTATTGCTTGGCGGCAGAAATAGGTATGGTGGCAGTACTTCTCTGGACGAGCCCGTTCACAAGGAGCTCTACAGCTACTAATTACCCATTCAAGTGATACACATAACGACTAATACCTCCCTCACAAATATTCAGAATCCAAAATAAAAGGCGAAAAATCAAATCAAAACAGTTAGTTATATCTTTACTTACAATTATAAAACTTCTAAAAACACTAACTAAGTAATCTTATCGAAAATATGGAACAAAATACAATAATTCCAGAGTTCAATTCAATTCATTTATTTATTCGTTATTACAGGTACATGATATAGATGGTAATAATAATTTTATGAAATCTCTGCAATAAGCCAAAGTGGCATACGAAGTCAATTGAATAAAAACGTAATGTCAAAATAAAAATAAAAGAAAAGTGGATACAATGTCAAAAAACTAATAATAATTAAAAAGTCTAAAAAATATTAATAACTAAATGTTACCCAACTGTCAGCATTTACCTATTCTAAGAAACTGTCATTAAATTATTCTTCTGTGCTATACTAACACTTGTCAATTAATAATTGTTTTAATACATGCTTGAATTGTATTCCACTAAGATTTTTTATTGTGTCTGGAATTTTATTAAATATTTTGGGTGCCATATCAACAACGCTATTTTTGTGTAGGGCCGTTTTACATATATTTCTTCGGACCATATATTTCCTGGTACGAAATAAGTGCGCCTGTGAACTTACTTTTTCTGGAAATTCACTCACGTTCGTCTTAACAAAGATAGATGCCTCAAAGATGTACAGACATGGGAACGTTAATAATTTTAGGTCACTGAAAAATGTTCAGCAACTGTCAGTGTATTTAATGTTGCATATGGCTCTAACACATCGCTCTGTAGGTAGAGTTACCCCAGAAAATCACACCATACCTAAGGATAGATCCAACAAGGCCGTGGTAAGCCATTACCACAGTTCGGCGGCCCGCAGTTTTCGACAATTTGTAGAGTGCATAGCTAAGCGTGTATAGTTTTGCACAGACCTGTTGCGAGTGAGTTTTAAGCGACATGTCCCTATCTACAGTTATACCTAAAACCTTTGTTACATTTACTTTTTCTATAACATTGTCACCACATTTAACTTTTAGGTCAGGTAGAGTCATTCTCTGATTAAAAAACATAATTTTAGTTTTATTTGTGTTGACTTTTAGGTTGTTATTATTCATCCACGTAGCCAGATGGTCAAGAGTAGAGTTTATCTCGTTTAGATAATAATTGTGGCCACCGTTTGTGTTTTCAATAATTACGGTGCTATCATCAGCAAAAGTATCATTGGATAACCACAGCTGCTGGGCATGTCGTTTATATACGTTAGGAATAGAAGAGGTCCCAATATGCTACCTTGCGTTCAGGGGGAGGTATTATTCACTCTATGTATATTACTTCCTTGACGTTCATACTGACGAAATAAATTAATTATGAATTTTAGAATAATTTAAAACAATTAACATAAACATAAACAAACATAGCACTTAAATAAAGGCTCAGTCTAGTCTGGGACCAATTGTAATGATTGCACAAGTTTTTCAGGTATGGAATCACATTTGGAATGCATGTAAATATAAAATAATATAAATTCAAACACAAACACAAAAGCTTATTTAATTAATAGTGTAGATAAGTTATGACTTATCTACATCTATATCATCTTATATATATCTCGGGGTATGCCCTGAGATATCAGAATGAGAGAGAGATAATGTTTTAGAATAACGAGCAACAGCTAGATAACACAAACTGTCGAAATTCCAACTAAAAAAATAACTTATCGTCGAAAATGAATGGTACGTATACGATATACGAGACTAGATAGATATTCGAGGAAGTAGACATCATGAACCAAGCCGGTTTATATTGAATTTTAATTAGCAATGTCAAAACGTCAGTACCGTGAACATGAAAGTGTCTCTAGATGAAATATACAAATAAAAATATAAATATACTTAGTTCAAAGTCTTCTTCTTCTATTCAATCGATGACATATACTATAATGCTTGTGTTCGTAATGAAAGGACTTGTCAAACGAGGTAGGTACTCGCTGATTGTTTTTTTTTTTAATATAATATCTAGTGACGGGACGAATAAGTCATGCACCTGATGGTAAGCTACACGCCTGTCCCTAACAGTTGCAGTGCCACTTAGAGCTTTAAAGAAGATATTACTGCTTTGGGGTAGAAATAGGTAAGGTGGCAGTTTCCTGGACGAACTCTTTCACAAGGAGCTCTACTGCTACTAAATTGTTGTTCATCGTGCGCCAGACGTACGTATCAGGGTTGTTGCGAATATCAGCATCCACATTAGCGGATAGTCCGCGTGAATTAGAATATCCGCATACACACCAACCTCCACATTGATTGATGCTGATATTCATTCCGGATATAAGCGTTGTGACATTAATTTACAAACCATCTAGAAACAGACTGCTAGCCCAAAAAGCAGTTCAGCTGTCTTTCTCCTGTGAGAACATTTCAGTATGATTAAGCTGCAGGCTGATTGATTATAAGCAGGTTGATTTTTTTTTAACAAATATCACAAAATCAATGAAAAAATTAAATAAAAAAAGAACTTTTTCACGTAGATTCATTAAAGATCTGTACATTTTTAAACACATAATATCAGCACTTGCTAATTGTTCATGTAAAAAAAACAGGACCCGCTTCAGCATTCACTGATGCGTAAAAACCTGCATAAGCAACAACCCTGGGACCTATGGGAAAGAAATGGTACTTCGTGGGAGAAGGCTCCTTTCGTACACCCATCGTACAAAAATATCAAACTATCGTAGTTTTCAAAAAAATATTTTTCGGTCTTACCGTTTCACTGTCCTATTGTACTTGTTCTTAAGCTCTTTAGCGATATAACCAGCAACATGGCTACCAAGGGAATGTCCTATGAGATGCAGCTTATCGCTCTGAAGACCTGCTTCCAGGAGTTTGTGTATTTGTTCTGCTGTTGCAACTCCTACCTGGAAAGCGAAAATATTATCTACTAAGCGAAAATACTATCGATGCGCGACTTTGAATGTTACTAATACTAATCATTCGAACGGGCAAATCATTCGTCTAAGTCGGATCAGCACAATCATTCGACTCCGATACCGAATGCCCCTGACATTCGATTATATGCACGGGTGGAATGATTATTATATCGCAACTCGACCAGTAGGGCTAGCACGTTGTACAAGCGCGACGCGACTAGCAAGACTCACAACTCTCGACGACAAAACTCTTTCGCAGTTGTCTATTTTCTCGTTTTACGTAGCACGACATGACATGCCGACAAACGTAGGCTCCGCAAGTAGATTCAGTCGAGGGCGACATAGTATGTGTTACCATTTACATATAAAATATACAACTTGCATTATATTGTTATGCGATAACATCGAATCGGTAATAGAGATACACCGTTTCATTCGTTCATTGATGAATTGGAAAACACAATGACGTCACATTTGTCAAAATTCTGAGCAATTTTGAATGAACATGGCGCTAATTGGGAAAAAATGTAAGTTTTTAATTAATTAATTTTGCTTATCTTACCACTTTCGGTAGTTATATTACTGTCGTTTGTTGAATTTCACTACGACATTATTTTAAAAGAAATTGTTTTAGATATACTAAATTCTTTCAACGGAACAGAAAATCGTTTACAAAATAAAACGAGTCCAATATTGAAATCATTCCAGACCAATTGAATGAGCCCAAACATGATAGTTCTGCTGCAAGATTTGTGAAATTGGGTAGTTTGCGTTGGATTGTCCTGGCTGTAGCGTCAGATCAAACTTGCTATATTTTTGTAATGTCGAAATTTCAAGCCTGTGTTTGATACGAAATTTAAGCCTATCGGACAAGTGGAAATGAAATAAATATTCATTTTGTGACTGAGATCCATACTCGAGATGAAAATAGATGATGAACAGATGTTCATCGAACATAACATAACATAAAGAATTATCTAGATTAAATTAGTCTGCAAATAAAAAAGTTTTAAGACCAGTTTAGCCGTTTGGGAACCACGATGCCACATATGGGCAGACAGAAATGTAGACGGATACACACACACATCGTCTGTCGCCTAAGACTGGAAGCCTCGCATACGCGTTTTCACATAGTTAGTTTTTACTGAGTTTTATTAAAGAAAAAATATAAATATATTATTAAGTAATATAGTATCTGAAAGAGGTATAATTAAAGTAAAATGCTAATTATAAACATTATTACGTTTGCCACATTTTACACCACATTCTTATTTTCGTCCTGAAAAAGTGACGTAGATATCACATACGAGGTTATCACTCTAAGACGACGATATACTCAAACATAAGCTTCAAACTTATAACTATGATCTTTTTGCGTTGGGAGTTAAAGACGCAAAATTTCGTGACACTTTTACTCTATTCGTCTAAAAACGAGATTTCTTTTTGAATTATCTTATATGACGAAATTTAACACACGCATAATTTTACAATGTCATGAATAATACGTATAAAAACAAGTTTAACATGAACATAAACAACATCTTGGTATTCTATCAAAACGGTATATAAAAAGATACAACTATGAAGAAACACGGCTACCTATTTTATAAAACAACATTAAGTAAAACAAAGGTTCAATTTATAAAACCGGTTTTACCAAATGGTATACAAGTAGGGTTATTATTGCTGTTGCAAAACTCTTGCGGATAGTTTAAAGCTAACGAGAACGGAATATTCCTATGATAAGGTCCACTCTGTTACCACAGCTGCTACTATATTGGTAAGCTACCTACTGTATCACCTTATACTTTTATAATATATGGATATTTCGCTAACGTTTTTCGGCCGTAGTAAATTAAGCTGGCCAAATATAAATAAATTCTCTCTCTTTCAACTTCTGAGTCTTTGAATATTTTTGCTCAACGTTTTCCAAGTTCACTTCTTTTATTTTTATACATTTGTTTTGTAATCTGAGCATTTATTATTCATTTTTAATGCGGCATTTTACGGCATTAGCACATTACTGCTTGGTGGCAGAAATAGTCCGTCATGGATAACACCGTGTCACGGGGAGGCGCGGTGTTTTTGTGAGATTCTTACTAAAAACTCCCACACCCCACATGAGACGGGGCTGTACCGCGAGCCGACCTCTGGGGTGACAGACAGAACTTCCCTGGACGAACTCTTCTATAAAGAGCTCTACTGCTACTATGAAGCCAAATGAGGAGTTAAAATAATGAACACCATAGTGTGGACGGTTTAAACGCGAATTTGTCTATTTGACCTTTTTCACGTGCGTTGAGACACCGACAAGCGCGTGGTAACATGTGGTTGGTGTTTGCTGTATTTGTCGAATAGACAATCAAGGCAAATACTTTGCCACACATACTATCTACACATTACGAATATTTGCCAAATACTTCAAAAACACAAATACAAATAAAGTGCCATTATAAGACGAGACTTTCCATGCCTTAGTTATGTTTCAAATTACATGTGTGTACTGGTGTCATAGACACAGCGTAAAGATCCATGAACAATTTATCACTGCCAATTAGCTTCTGGTTAGTTAGTTATCAATTTATCATTCTCTTAATAGCGCAAAACACCGTACTAGAACAATGCTACGGGCAATGGGTTCTTGCATGCTATTTTGAACACAATTAAAAATGCGATCACAGCTTTCAGATCACTTGTAATTAATTAATGCTCACCGAACACATACTGGGTACGTGTGCATAATACTAAATTTCAAAAATCTTTGAAATCAAATCAATCTATTGATTAATAATAAATTATAAATTAATACCTACAGCCCGACTCAAAGCACATTGGCAATGGTAGTAAAAATATATTTATAATAAACTACCATAACAATTAAGAGACACCGTTAATGCTGTAGATTTTAATACTAAACTTAAAGAGTTACATCAATGAAAAATACATTACGTAATTGAAAAAAAAAAATGTTATAGAAAAAGTTTTCGTTACAGTGTAAGTGTAATAGATATATTAAAAGATTGTCAAAGCTGAAATCTTTTTTATTTAATATTACAAAATACAAATTATGTGAATATATAGTAACTATCTCTCAATTATTGTCACGCTCTAGGGGAATGTACTTAGAATGATTGTAATATAAGGTCTACTTATGTAGAGCATGGTCAAACCAACCAAGCGTCTTTCAAGTAGAGGCCATGGATTCAAATCTGAGTTTTTCGTAATTTATGTCCGAAATTTTATATGAAATTTACCACGAGCTATTCGGTGAAGGAAAACATGGTGAAACCCGAACGTCGAAGAAGGTATACAACCCTCGGGAAACGTGTGAAGTCCCCAACCCGCATTGGACCAGCGTGGCAGACTATGGCCTAAACACTCACTCGAGACCCGTGGCGTTGGGCGTATATTTTTTACGATACCAAGTGGCGGGACGAACAAGTCGAGTGATACGTCTGTCCCTAACAATTGCAGTAACACTCAGAGTTTTAAATCACAAAGATCTGAGAGTCACTGACGCTGCGCCCATCACCCTGAGACATGTAGACAAGTCTCATGTGCCAGTAATTTCACCAGCACCCTTATTTCAAAATCAGAACGCAGTAATGGTCATATTACTACTTGGCGGCAGAAATAAATAAGATGGCAATACTTCCCTAGACGAACTCTTTCACAAGGAGCTCTACTGTTACGTTAAATGGGTTGGTGATGTGAGCATCAGAAACGGTTAAGTCAGATTTCTTACCTTTTTTGTGTTTCTAGCAGCATTGACTAAGTAGGACCCATGAGACATATTCGACCAGTCCAAAAGTATTACGTTGGTGCCCGGTCGCGTTTCTAGATAGGCGTTCACCATGACCTGAAATTTCACGTTACAAGAATTAAAAAAAACCTGTTTGTATGTGTTAATGTAGTTCGGTTTTGTACTTTGACTGCAACAAGTTTTTTGGGTCTCTGTCTTATGTCTCATAGACAAACACAGGTTTACCAAGTTTAAGATAATGGATCGTCAATTGCCAGTTGCCCTGTTCCACAATTCAACAATGTTATATTTTCTTACAATTTGAAGTTTTTTTTTATGATACCAAGTGCCGGAACGAAAAAGTTCTGGTGGTAAGCGACGCGCCTGTCTATAGCAGTAGTGCCACTCACAACTGTAACTCGCAAATATCTGAGGGGCGCTGCTACTGTGCCCGTCACCCTGAGACATAGGCGGCAGAAATCGAAATAAGTAAGTTTTGTATTTAGTACTTCTGTAATTTGTAGGGGGAAAAATATTATTATTATGTTTCACATAAGGGATGTTACCACTTATAATGCTGAATCCGCTTGAGCCGGTCAAAAAAGCTTTACGTTCATGCAATAAGTGCCAAAAAAGGCGTTGTGCGCTTCGCTTTCGCTCGGGTCGTCACCGCGAACCGACGTGGAACACACCTTTATTGCTCTTATTGCACAAATGGATTTTTTTTCTGACCAGCTCAAGATTCCCATGTGTGGTGACTTTATAAGCCTGGACGCGTTTTTTTTGCAATTTAGAGCACATTAGGGCCATTATGTTGTGACGACAGATATGTTTAAAGTGTCGCGACTTGTATATTTAAATGAAGTTATTCACACAAAGAACAACACTTTATTAGATTAACTGATTTGACGATCTTTTGTCGTTACGACGACAGATGTCGTGATAGTGGGAAGAGTTAGAACGACAGTCTGACGATAAATAAAACGTCACTATAAAAATGTCACGACAGGTAATCGCAACATCAAACGATTCTGTCGCGCAAACGACAAGGCGGCTGCCGTGAACCGATAAATTGTTGTCACGATCTAGTGGGAACAGCTAGACGACAGTAGCTCAACGACAAAATAAACGTCCACGACAGATAGTCGTAATAAGGGAATAGGCTAGACGCGACAGTCATCCAGCGATAAATGAAACGTTACGACATAATGGAAACGCACCCAAAAACTTTACATTTTGATTTTTGATTTTAATACACCTTCAGGTTATGAATGCCGCACCTTGTCCCATTGCACTGCTGGCGAGACTTGAACTTATCAGGTTTGGTATATATTTGTAAAAGATTAACATACCTGGACACTCTCCTTCTGCGCTGTCTCGATGAAGCCATGCATGTAGATGACTGTGGGGCTGTTCTTGTCGAAACCCTTGACATCGAATAAACGATTGGCTTGCATGAGGGGAAAATCCACGTACTCTTCAAAGGTGCTTCTGAAATAATATGCGATAAGGTATTGTAACTTTACAGCTTTAATCTTGTCCGTGGAATTAGATGCTATAATGTATATATAAATATCATACATTCTTAAGCGAAGTAAAAAAACTGACATACGAAAATGACGGCTGAGTTGTACAAATGACTTACTATAAAGAAATATTACAGTGCATGAATATATACAACAATAATTTTGGATTATTGTAAAAGATTATGACGTCCTTTTTATAAGTCTTGATAAATTAGTAAAAAAATGTATTAAAATTTAATGAATGTCAAAATGTTTTACCATCATGTTATACAATTATTTTCGTGAAATTACTCCACTAGTTTGTTACAATTATTAATACAAAGATCGAACACTTAGAAAAAATTCCTTCGATCCGACAGGATGGGAACTAACGTCTTCTAGCAAACCGTGGCAAACGCTATGCCAACTAAGCCAAGGAATGAACTACCGGACCTTACGAATTTTTCTATGTGCTTATTGCAGGTCTTTACTTTGGTTCTTTAACGACTTTTTTCTTGCCATAGTTGCCAACTTTGAGAAATCTAGACATATTTAATTTGTAAATTGTAACTTGCGACTTTCTTATCTATTATTGCAGTAATCAATTAAGAATGTATCATTCGAAATTTCCATATATATGTGATATAATGCAAAACGTGTTTGTACCGGTACTCACTGTTACAACTCTTATTAAATTACATTTGAAGCAAATAAACAAATTTTATTATTACAGTAATTTTAGCGAGAAGACAAATAAAAACACTATGTATATGTATTTAAAAGGTGTTCGCATTGACGAAACCAGTATTATTTATATCCAGCAAAGTTACTCATGTTACTATGATCTTGTGAAGGTATTTCATAAATTCTATCAATAGTTAAATATTTATAGGAATAGGCTTGGTTTGCAAGATTTATTTCTAATATGGATTCTCTGTATAAAAAGATACAGACCTATCTTATGAATGTATCTGTACAGGGTATTTGTAAAATACTAACAATCGCGCAGGACCACTTACTTACTAACACCATAAACAACAATTTTTGTTTCAAGACTTTTTACAAAACGTATTAAATTACCAAAGATAAACTTTTATGTTTTTGTTGTACTATCTGACACTTTTTAAAGGTCTCTACCTTAGAGGATGGGAAAAAAATAAAAGAAGTCTCTACCATGACATTACAGTGACAGTTATCGCAAGTGACTGCGTAAAAGGTTTGTTTACAAAATGTTGTTTCTTCTGGTGACCGCTAGGGGCGCTGTATAATTTGCAATACAAAATTGTGCAGTAATTTACGCGGTTGCTAGCGACTACAATCACAGTAAACTCGTGGTAGAGGCACTATATTTGGTAGTAAGATGGGAAGTTCAAGTTTGACATCGGACTGGTAGTTACGCTAGCGCTTTCTTTTGTTACCACACAGAGTTATCAGCATTTAGCGCGATCTATTTAAATATTTTTATTTTAGTACGGAACTAAAATATCATTAATTTAAAAGTTATGATACAACGTCCTTGTCTATGATTTTTTTTAATATCAAATGACGGAACGAACAAGTCGTGCGCCTGACGGTTTGATTACTTGACTGTCCATAATTGTTGCAGTGCAACTCAGAGCTTTCAATCGCAAAGATATGAGGGGCACTGCCACTGCGCCTGTCAACCTGAGACATAAATATGACTAGTCCCATGTGCCTGTAGTTTCACCAGCACGCTTACCCTTCAAAACTGAAGCGCTGTGCTCACATTACTGCTTGGCGGCAGAAATAGATAAGGTGGCAGTACTTCCCTGGACGAACTCATTCATAAGGAGCTCTACTGCCACAAAATGTATAGAATGTTAGTAATACTCGTGCAGCGAGGTTGTTAGTATTTTACAAATAACCATGTATATCTACCACTGTCGAGATATCAGGGTTTCGCGATTGTTACACGTTGGAAGTGAAAGATTTTGTTTGTGGACCTAAATTGCGTATATTTGTTTTTGTGTTCGTTCGGATCTACGATGCCACTGAGAGACTTATAGTGGTAACGCCAGATAGTTTGTCTGAGCTCGCATCTCCTTTTCCTTTCCCATCCTAATCCGTGTTACGCCAAAGCCGCAAAAATTGCCAGTGACTGAAAAATAAGTGTGTGTGTGACGTTAATATTCGAACTCAAAAATCTGAATTTTTTATAAATTAACTGTCCGCATCTCCGCCCAGCATTAAGCTGTTTACGCAAGTGTTTAGATGGTGGCGTTATTGGTAATGGGCCACAAGTGAAGTGGTGAAGCGCTACGGACGAGCCCTTCGACGTTTCGGACAGTAAAGGTTGGTGGTAGCACGGCTTCCCTTCCTTTTACTTGCGAGCTCACCTTTCCAGCAGCTCTGCGCGAGCTATCGAAGGTATTTTTTTTTTCTTATAGTGTCTTTTTGCGCGGAATATGAATTGATTTTTGTTACGAATATAAAATATATTCACCATGAACATTATGCTTCCAAATTTAAATTTATTTTTCTGTTAAAACAAAAATTAAAAATTCATCTTCATGAGCAATGAAAAACAAAGAATAATATCAAGAATTGTTTTACGTAGCTACGGAGAATTAAGGGGCATTTAGCCTGATATTTTGATATTGTCCGTGGTGACTAAGAACATACTAAAAACGAATCAAAAATATGTTTAAGAACAACTTAAAATCTCAAATTGTTTGTATGTGGCGCCTTTTTGTGACAACCTGTATATAAGAGAAACTAATTGCCCAAGTTCATTAATACGAGCGAGTGCAATCGTTTCGGCCTTTCCCATTCTATTATAGGAATCGTTTTAGACAGCACTACTATCGTCTGATTACATGACGTCATGCATTATGTGGTAACTTGAAGTGACCTGCTATTTTTATAACGACCGAGTAACATGTTTATTCTCTACCAATATTAACGTTTGTTTGTAAAATATGACATAGCTTTTGGAAATGGACTATTTTTTTTAGACCTAAAACGTGTACATTTGTTTTTTCAAACAAATGCAACGTTTCGGGCCTTTTATAGGTCCCATGTTTACGACTTACTCTACTCTATAGTCAGCTGTAACCATGGAACCTCCAAAAAAAAAAAAAACAAATATACAGACGACCTCGGTTGTCGAGTGGCTTGCTCACCGGTTTTCACGGTGTAGTCTCAGAGATCTGAGGTCCCGGGTGCGATCCCCGGTCGGGTCAGTGTAAATATTTAACTTTTCTATATTGTCTCGAGTCTGGGTGTTTGTGGTACCGTCGTTGTTTCTGATTTCCATAACACAACTGCTTTAGCTACTTACTTTGAGATCAGAGCAACTAATGTGATGTTGTTTAATATTTATTATACGTGATTTAGTTCCGAAAATACATAACTTTAATGTACAATATGTAAAAATTGGGAACCTCAAAACTCTATATATATTATAATAAAGTTCTTTTTATGATATCCACAGGCGTGTCGCTTACCACAGGCGCACGCTGTTCGTCCCGACACTTGGTATCGTAAAAGAAAACGACACTCATGACATTTGCAGTGCCATTATGAGCTTTAAATTGCAAAGATTTGAAGAGCAGTACCACTGCGCCCGTCATTCAGACACATACTCATGAGTTGACATGTACCTTGTGTCACCAGCACCCTTACCCTTCAAAACTGGAACGCAGTAAAGCACACATTACTATTTGGCGACAGAACTAGGTATGGTGACAGTGCCTGTGTCGTGTCTGGAAGAATTCTTTCACAATGAGCTCTACACTAGAGCTGCTTGTTTGCAATTATAAATAAAATAAAAATAAAATAGTTTATTTGACATGCAATACACCACAAAGAAAAGAATATGCAAATTAATAATAATACACAAAAACACACGTCAATATGTTTATGACTCAGCTACAGAGGCATTGTTCTCGCCGATATTCTGCCATAGCCCTTAATGATCAGGAACACACAAAAATGTATATAATTCAATCATAAAGCACATATATACGCGTCAGAATACACTAATAAACTGAAATGAAAAATGTTATTATAATTCCAAATTAGTAAAAACCAGTATAACAACACACAACGCGCGGATTAAAAAAAATATATAACCTGCATGCCGTGATTGCTTGTCAAATCGCCATTGTGAACATTTACGTTTGGATGTCCGTAACAATAAAGACACCGCCGCCGCTCTTCCGGGAGGATGTAGGTCATTCCATATTTTAGATGAGGCGTGTTTGAAGCAACCACGGGCAACAGCGAGTTTTATTTTAACGCACACACTCAACATAGCCCCGCACTAGAGAAACCCACGCGGCGCGGGTGCCATGGACACACACACAGACAACCACAAATTACACCCAAACTGACGAGAGAAATAAATATAGGCCATACAAATATTTCTCCAGGCCCAGGAATCGAACCTGGGACCTCTGCGTGGCAGTCCGGTATGGTAACCGTTCGGCCACGGAGGCAGTTATCGGGTTCCTAATCATGACACCCCTATCGCGAAGTCCCTCAACATTAGTTTGCATGACAAGCTTATATATATAGGCATCCCTTTTTAAATAAAGAACGTAAAAACTATATCTAAGAGTGGTAACACACGGTTTTTTTTTTTTTTTTTTGTGACTCGGCAAAATGACTGCACCGCGCCTGATGGAAAGTGCGAATACAGTCCAGAGATGAGAGTAACGGATGGAAAATACAAATATCTTCACTCCGTCACTATCATTTTGCCGGTCTGGCCAAATGCTTCTTCACACTACGTTTGAAGGACCCGATGTTATAGAGGGGAGGGAATACATGCGCCGGGAGTTGGTTCCACAATTTGATGGTTCGGCATAAAAACGAATTGCCAAACTTTTTAGTGCGGGACGGTATTGAACTGACCGTCCATCTGTGGCAACGCAGTCCGGCACGGGTGGTCCGCTGATGGAAAGGAGAGGAAGGGATAAGGTTGAATAACTCTTCAGAGCACTCACCGTGGTACAGGCGATAGAATACGGTGACTTTTAGCAACGATGCGAATCGCTACACTTGCGATTTATAGGCAATTGCTTCGATGCAAACGCGCGACTGCATTAATACAAACGTGCGATTGGCTATAAGTATCAAGTGTAGCGATGCAATCGCGCGTTAGTATCGATGCAGTCGCGCGCTTGCATCGCGTTTGCATTGCTGCTTAGAATGTGTAACTGCTCCAAGACAATGTGAGTTACGCATACTGAGGATCTGATCAGAATTATAACTGTTCATAAAATAATCACATAACAATTTGTGCGACGGTTGCAGGCATGAAAGTGCATCCGAAAGGCACATTCGTATAGTTTTTGCCTCAAAGTATGTATTGTTTCGATGAACCACATGAACATGTTAAAAAACCGTGTTTCGTTAACTTAGCCAACAAAGAAATAAAGTTTCTTTAAATTTCTTGATTGTAATTTTATAATATGAATACACGGGACTAAAGTACCTATCTGGATATAGAAAGACACTCACCCATTGTAAAATCGTAAATAGATGTCTTGAATCCGATTAGTTCGATCTGGTGAAATACCTGTGAACAAAATTATAATTTATTATATAGCAGCTATGCAGTAGTAGTAGAGGTGATAGCCTAATAGAACGGTTGCGTCTCAATTAAGAGGTCGATGATTCGAGTCCCTGTGGTGGGCGTATTTTTTATAATATCAAGTGCGAAACGAACAAGTCGTGCGTCTGATGCTGAAGCTACACCCCTGTCCATAATAGTTGCAGTGCCACTCGGAGCTTTAAGTTGCAAAGCTCTGAGGGGAACTGCCACTGCGCCTCCATCATGTCCCATGTGCCGATAATTTCACCAGCACCTTCCCTTCCTTTTTTATCTCGTCTGCCGAGGTACCAATGTTTATAAATAAATGTTTTTCACGCCATTGCGCAAAAGTATCCTCGGTTCAAATTCTCCGTTTGCTCGATTTGCCAGACTCGTCAATACTCTACCTCCTGAAATGGATATCTTAGCAGTCTCTTTGCCTGTCTGGCACATTGTTACCTTCTTATGTTTTATCTACATATTATAATAAGAAAACCATTTATTTTTAAGTTACCTAAACTTGTGTTACATCTAACTTTATACCGCGTCACCTAACGTGACTTTACTGTTAATGGCAGGCGGAAAGTATCTGCTATATACCTTGGAAGTAGTTGAAAGTCAAAAAGAATATACTGTATATACAGCACATTATCCGCAGATTTTGTGGAGTAATGAAGCCGTGACACGTATAACAACGTCGTCGGTACCGCTGGACGCAATAGATGATTAGGGTCAGTCGGGGCGGTGTCAGTAAGGTTACGCCTGGTTTAGTTCTTAATAATAATTTCACTTAAACAAGGGAATTCTCAGTACAAAGTACGAGAATAACAAAACTCCAAGCGCACTACACTACACTCAAGTTAAGACATCCAGACCAAAAACAATTTGGATAGTTTCGGGAATAGACCTGGGAACTGCTCATCGAATGTGAATAGTGTTAACTTCTGAGATATCGAGGTTGTCTACACTGGATCATAATGGTGGAACAGATATGGTGACTGGAAAACCAAGATTCTGGATTCTGGAATTTACACAACCATGTTCTAAGAATAACTTGTCGCTTTCCTTTTTAGTTATAAATAGACTTTGCTGTAACAAACTATTTATAATTTTATCCTCAGCAAAAAGTGAACTTTAAAATTCACAACTTATTTTCTTTCATTATGTTTGTATTATACATAAATAATACTGTTTCAAACATGTCGATATTATGAAAAATAAAAAGGGTTCTTAGGTTTTCGTGATTGTTACACACTAATATTAATTAATATTAGACATAACTGGTTGAAGACTGTACCACCTCAGTCAACCGTGACCATGGGACCTGTAAAGGGCCCGAAACGTCGGTTTGTTTGAAAAAACAAATATACGCGATTTAAATCCGGAAAAATAGTTTCATTTCCTAAATAAAAAGGGTTTCAAATAAGATCACTCCACCAGGTTCCCTTAGCCTAGTCCCTCTGGGGATGTAAATGTATGTAAAGTTGCAATCAAATTGCGACAATATTTATTTCTTCGGGTATATTACTCGTTCGAACTCGTACTCAAAGGCCTTCGAATGGTTATTATGCTGGTCTGGCACGCAGAGATTCCGGGTTCGATTCCCGGGCCAGGAGAAATATATGTTTTTTTTAGTAATGTCAAGTGACGGGACGAACAAGTCGTGCGCCTGATGGTAAGCTATACGGCACTGCTACTGCGCCTGTCACCCTGAGACATATGTTGATGATATTACATATCCGATATTGAAATACTGACACTACTGATACCCACATTATTTCTTGGCAGCAGAAATAGGTAAGGTGGCAGTACATCCTGTCGATGACTTCTCTAGATGAACTCTCACAAAGAGCTACTATCCTAGTCCTTTACATTATCTTAAACCTCTTCCCTTAAGGGACCCCCGGCTTATACAAAAAAGTATTAAAAATAAAATACCAATCACAATATCCACATCTACCCGAGGCCTTGGACATTTCCCGGTTTCAGCTGAACAATATCCAAATGAAATTATACATAACAACAGAGCACAAATGATAGAAGCCATACTGTCACCCCATTAGATTGTAACACTGAACTGACTAGCAATGGCTTCGTGGGTTTGCGTTTTAGTGTCATTTAAGTAATTTTTTTTATTATTATCCATTTTCTATGATTATAGAAATTGTAACGTTGAATTATTAGGATCCCGTATACAAATGGTAGATATCAAATTCTTATTTTCAAACATTTATTTGGGCAGGCAAAGGTTCTACCATACTGCCTCTTCATATATTAGTACCTTTCCTTGTTTTGATGGAAAAGGCGACAAGCGCCTGTTCTTATACATATATTTATTTCATATATCATGAAGGGTTGATGGCGTATAATTGTATAGGACAGGGTAAGCGTCTATGTTTTTCAAAAGGTCTTCTGTTGAGCGCGGGATATCTTCGGGTTTGACATATATTTGCAACTAAAGAGGCTAAGGCGTAGTAAATTGTAGGATGTACAGTTACAGAATATATACGGTCCAGAGTTTGATCGGCACTATTACAATAAGTACATATTGAAGAGGCAATAAACGTATGCGACGAAAATGAGCATTAAATCGAGCGTGGCCCACTCAGTTTCATTTGATAGTAAGTTATAATGCTGGAGCACGGTCGTCGTTCTTCATCTTTTACTGTAAAGCTTCAGTAAAGTGAGTCTATAGTGTCGATGGTCGCTATCAACCGCATAAAATATTTGTATAATATAAAATATCAAGTTGATAGTGACCGCTAAGACCGCTGTATAATTTTCCATATAAAATTGTGAATATTTTCGCAGTGGCTATCAGCACTGTAATCTCAGGGTCTTACATTAGGCACATTTTCATTAAATTAGGCACTTTTGGAAACATAAACATGCCTCACCACACGGTTTCCTTAACGGTCTGCGGTGGCCCATGTGCAAGTCCTTGAAGCAACTTCACACTCAGGTAAGTAGCTGCAGAGACAAGATTTGCAAATGGGGGTTCAGGGATACTAGTCTAACCCGATGTTTTTTTTTTTTTTTTTTTTTTTTATACCTGACAGGCAAATGACTCCACTCCACCTGATGTTAAGTGGAAAGTGGTATCCAAACGCGAAGGAATCGTTTGAAGGACCCCATATCATAAGAGGGAGGGAAGACATGTGCCGGAAGGGAGTTCCATTTGTCAACCGTGCGGCAGAGAAAGGAGCCACCGAACCTTTTAGTACGCGATGGAATGCGGCAGGTAGTGAAACGGTGACTACGAAGGCCAGCACGCGTGCTTCTGAGCAGGAACGGGGAAGGGGGGATGAGATTGAACAGCTCCTCAGAGCACTCACCATGGTACATGCGGTAAAAGGCGCTAAGCGATGCAACATCTCTACGCAGTTGCAGAGGTTCAAGGCGTGATGAGACCTCTTCGTCGCCTATAATTCTAGTAGCACGACGCTGTCATTTATCCAAGGCATCGAGTAGGTACTTGGCGGAGCCGTCCCACAAGTGCGAACAATACTCAACGCAAGACCGGACCTGTGTTTTGTACAGCAGGCATAACTGGTCCGGCGTGAAAAAACGTCGCACCTTGTTCAGGACTCCGAGTTTCCGTGAGGCTGTTTTGATCACAGATTCGATGTAGCTCCTTGGATTCAAATCACAGCAGATTTCCATACCGAGCAAGGTGAAACTGCTCTGAGGTGAAAGTGCTGTGCTCATCAGAGAAGGCATGGGAAGAATGTGACTGGTGGTACAACGCAGACCATGTAGCACTTGCTCGTGTGCCCCTATTGCGTACAAACCTGGCGAATGCATGCAGAAAAGTCCACCTCTACGCGGCCACGAATGGCGCAGTCGAAGTGGCAACATACTATTCAAAGTCAACATAGTTCTCAAATAAAAGAAGCATCGACACTGAAGGTGTTGTTAGAGCCAATTACTTTCCTCATTATAACTGCTTCGAAGAAAATGATCTCAATAACTCTATGTTACTTTTTCGGGAAATTTAAGGTACAAGTTAGTTATTGAACATGTTGTTAATAACAATATTACTTTGTGATTAAAACTTCTTCAATGTTATCTTTTGAAACCTTTAACTATCATTATGTATGTACCTATTATGTACCTATATAATTTTAACGAAATATGTTTCACTTCATCATTTTACAAATTTAATGTATTTATTATATTATATTTATTCTGAAATATATAGCATTGAATTACGTCATATTATTTTATATTATACTCTCTATTTTTAAGTAAAAGGTTTACTAGTCAAGTAGAGTTTTAGTTAATCATGAAATGCCGACAAAATAAACCAGCTCTATTTTATATATACATTTAAGGTTGTGTTATTGATGTGCAAATTTTCATGTAGGTAGTCTGCGATGCTTTTAGTTAGTTGTTCTACTTTACATAACATAAGCTTAAACTTAAATTAAATGTTGTAGTGATATGTAGTGTAAAACGTATTAATTTTAAAAACATAGGACTAATGTCGCTATTGAACTGTTTGGCGAAATATGTGTGAATTTTGGAAATGATACGATGACAATGATCGCATCTAATACGCGTATGTTTGGTTTTTTCAAACAAATCAACGTTTCGGGGTCTTTACAGGTTCCTTTGTCATGGTTAACTGAATTTAGACCAAAAAGTGATCAATTTTAACGAAGAACTTGTTATATGAATTTTGTAAAATAATTTAAGTGTATAAAAAAAAGAGCAACAAAAAAGAGATTTTTTGTAACAAAACTATACGATTGCACGTTTGTAAGAATGTTCATCATCATTGTGGAAAATTACTAAACAGCCATGATCTTAGGCAATCAGAAGGCCTTGAAATCTTTTGCTTACTATACCACAATCTTATAACTGACGTAATGTATAATGAAATGAAATTAACTCCCATTTATTTCGGGTTCCCATGCAGATCACAGATATTCTTAAAGTGCCTCTTTGACTAGATAGCGAAGGTCGACAGTCGGCCCTGCATT